GTTGTTCCAGCTTGCGGGACTGGCCTAGGGGATTTTAGAGGGGGTTTTAATTATATTTTAATTGGATTAGATTTAAATATTTCCCTTTTAATTAATTTTAAACTTGTATTGTAATTCTTGTATTTTTATCCGATTGTTAGCCGCCCTGAGTCCGTAAGGAGAAGGGCGGGATATAAATGTAATAAAATAAATAAATAAAATAAATAACCAGACTGGTTCCACCTTGAAGGAAGAGATTCCAACACATATATGTGTTGCATTAGATTGCCATTCTTTGAAAACACTTTTCTTTTTTAAAATTGCCCTCCCATACAAATATAGTCAGTCTGGAGGAATTTGGGTCTGCTCCTGAGAAGGAGGTAGGAGAGGCAAAATGTTTGCTTAGTCCTCAGAAAGTAGAAAGTGTGAAAAAGAGACTTTATTTTGTTTTCCTTAAAAAGGGGTAATGAAAATTTGGGATAGGCTTTAAATATTTTCTTATATACCCTACAACGCTAAAGTAGCATTCTTGAAATCGCTGCTGTGTCTGTTTCTTGACTTGGGCCTACTTTAAGTAGTTGACATCAGCCATTTCCCCCAAAAACTAAAAGTGAGCAAAATAAATATAAGTCACATCTTTGCTAAATATATCTTTGCATTTAATATGGTATGCTTAATGTGCCGATATTAAAATGCTGTATGTTTTAGTTGCGAAGCTGTGTCAGACCAAGGTGGATGGCGAGAATTTGATCTATTGTTGAACACTCTGAAGTTTGAAGATTTATCCATGTAGTTATCTACAAATTCATAACCATGTAATTTTCTTGGGAGTAATACAAAAGTGGTTTGTTATTACCATCTTATGGTTGTGGAAGAGGGGGGCAGGTTGGACTTCAGGTCCAAGCTTCAGCTCTGATCCCTTATTCATGTAGTTCTGCCCTGTTTCCCTTTTTGAGAGGGGACCAGGTCAGCATGGTACTTCCACCTAGATTTAAAGAAATTTCACATTATCAGTAGATGAAGACTGCTACTAAAACCAACTTTCTAAAGAGGCATTTTCTGCTAGGATGAGAAAGGTTTAATTTTTCTGCCAAATCTGATTTCCTTCTTGTCTCTCCCCCATTGAATGCAATATAATTTTAAAACAAGGAACCAGACATCAGATAGAAAGAAGTATTTTGTCATGTGAATGTTGCTTTTAGAGTATCAATGTGCAGTCTCTAGAGACCTTGCTTGTTAGCTGGTTCTTATGCTTTATAGCAGTGGTGGTGAACCTATGGCACGCGTGCCAGAGGTGGCACTCAGAGCCCTCTCTGTGGGCACGCACTCCATGCCCCGGAGATGGCAACTGTCCTCTTCAACCAGCCGCCCGCTAACTCGCCGAGGTCCCATGTGGCTGGATGCATCCCAGCACCCATGCGCTCGCTGGCCTCTGTGTCTGGGGGCCGATGGTGTCAGGCAGCAGCCGCCCCGGCCCCTGCCTTGCCTTGCCCTGCGACAGTGGCACCCCCACCCTGCCTCGCCTTGCCTGATTGAGCACTTGAAACTCGTCTCCTGCCCACCACCCCACCCGCCAGAGACCCTCTGGATTTCCCCCAACCCTGCCCGGCCCCCAGAGGCATCCCTCCCCAGGAGCAACATCGAGCTGGCCACGCCCACCCTGGCCACGCCCACCCATCTGCCATGACCACCGTAGCCATGCCTATCCAGTGGGCCACACCCACCCAGCAGACCATGCCCATCCGGCACCCGGCAATATATAAGTGGATTGGGGTTGCAGTTTGGGCACTCGGTCTCTAAAAGGTTCGCCATCACTGCTTTATAGTTTCTGTTGTAATCTTGATTCTTACAAAACTTTTTGGGCCAAATCCCAACCTGGATAATGCTGTCAATTCTATTCTGGTGGTGTGTTATAGAGATCTGACCCTTCAAATTATGATAATTGAAAGAAGCTAAAATATAGCAATAAGTATAATACTTATTAGTCACAGATTAACAATTATGACTCAAATTATGTGGCTGACTTAGAAAATCATCTTCTGATATAATTTATATTTCTGTTTGCAAGAGGTTCCCTATACATAGGAAGTAGTTTTCTTGTCTTCTTTAGTAAATAAAATATATGCCTGTTCAGTGGGAAAAGGAAGGATGTGCCACAATAGATTTAAGGCATTAGCACTTAATGCTCTATTAATGGCACACCTTTTCCACCAGGAGCAGTGCAGTTTGCTTGTAACACATTCAAGTATCTCTTGAACAGGCTGTTGAGCTAAGTTGAAATGTTGTCAATAGGTATTGATTTTTTTAGCCTTTTTATTTTCTTGAGGAGGTTGCCTTTTGTTAGTTGTTAAGGGAAGGAAGGTAATGTCTTCACTAGACTATTGTTCTCTTGAGCAGTTTTCTCTGGCATGTGCCCTACAGATGTGTTGTACACAACTTTCATAATCTCCACCTACCATGGTCAAACTGTAGAAATTAATTAAATTGATAATATATCTCAGGCTGTAGAATCTTATACAAAGATAAAATATAAAGACTCTCTAGAATCTATAACCCTTGTCTTTCTTACTGCTATTCCATCCCTGAGGTAATTGTTTTGTTTTTTCAAGGTCAGCTACATGCTATTCACATGTGACTGATTATGTGCCATCAAGTAGGTGACCTGGCGACCACATAAACCTCCACAATGTTGTGTCCCCAACTTGGCCATTCATGCCTTCCAATGGCATATCCGTTGCTGCTGTAATTGAGTTCATCTGTCTTGCTGCTATCTGTCCTCTTCTCTTTCCTTCGGCTTTTCTCAGCATTATGGACTTCTCCAGAGAGTTTGGACTAATGTGTCCAATGTATGATCATTTGAGTCTCATCATTTGTGCCTCAAGAGAGAACTCTGAGTTAATTTGTTCAGTGATCCATTTCTTCATTTTGGAGGTGTGCGGCAGTGGGGGTGGGGGTGGGTGGGAATTCTCCATGGTATTCTCCGCATCAAGACTCTTTCTGCATTCACATGTACCTTGGATTAATTCTGACCATATATAGATTTATTATCAGTCTCTCTAGCTTAAAAACTATAACTTATTATAAAAGAAAGTTTTAACTAGGATTTGTTAAAAGAAAGTTTTAACTAGGATTTGTTAAAAAGATATATTTTAAATAGTTTTTAAACTTGTTTTCTTTTAACCTTTTGAAAATCAGATTTCTCTAAGCTTAAATCTAGATTAATAAGAACAGTATTTTGTTTGCTGAACATTGAAGCATATTGTTGTGTTTTTCTTTGTTTTGCAGTAATGGTTCAGTGGATTCAATGAACTTCCTACTTTATGAAGTTGGCGGTAACATAAGTACGTGAATTTTATATTCTTACACTAATTCTTGTTCAAGGGGAGTCTGGGCTACTAGTTTCAAGGGGTAAGATTTGGCAATGGAGAATAACCACTGTTGAAGGAATAAATAGGCAGTGGGCAGCAACTAAGAATTGACAGCTTTGACCATTGCCCAGTGACAAAGCAGCATATAAGTTGCTGAGAATTGTTCAGGTTGGGCATTCAGAGAAAATCCTTTTGATCAAATGTAAGAGACAATAGTCTGGTTCCTACAACCTGACAAAAGCATAATCTTGATTTAGCATTATGTGTGAAATATGAAGGATTCATATAAGATAGTGTCTAGTAAAAGTTGTTCCATATCTAAAAGAGAGGATAGCTGCCAGGTGAGAATGAAAATGCTTCCCAAGGACATTCTTGGCAAATACGTTTTCAGCTACTACAAGTCCATTTTTAGCATTATGCTCAGCAGACTGTTTGGTTCTGTCATGGGCCTAGTTCATCTCTGTATTTTCTCTTTAAAACTAGAAACATTTTCTTCATAGGATCTTCCACCTTCCTATTCTTTACTTGTAGCCCAGGAATAATGTTTCATGAAAAATGTTTATGAAATCATTTGAAACTAATGACTAAACATAAAATAAATTCTAGTGCTAGGTTTATAGCTCATTTTTAAAACTAAACAAACTTGTTTTCCCCTTCTAACAGATGAACATTGCCTGGATCCAGATACATATCTTTTAGACCTGTACCATGTGAATCCTCATGCAGAATGGATTATAAGGCAAACCCCGTCTTTTCCAAGAACACCTTAGGGAAACTGCTTTGTAAAACAACAACAACAATGGAACCAAGAATTTGTATTAAATTGTTTAAACAAAGATGAAATGTTGGAACCAAGCACCATATGTTCATGAAGATAACAGTTTAAATGGAGCAGTAGCTCCAAAATTGGAAAATTAGCAATTCCCTTTGAATGTCATTTGAGACATAGCCAATAGAAGATGACAGTATTGAATGATAACATGGCTTATATCATAGAAAAGCTGGTAGGAAAAAAAAAAAGGTCGGAAAGCATTTGGAAAAACTCATGCAGATAATCTGATTTTAAGGTTTGTTCACATCAGAGCATATCTCAATATGCAATAGCTGGTTATCAGTGTTGACTTTTATAATGTGAAACTGAATATTTGAATTAAGGCTTCTTGTACAACCATATAATTTTTAAAAAATATTGCTTTATCCTATTGCTTTATTTCTGGAGAGCTTAATTGATAACCAGCTGCCTAGAATATAGGAGGAAAATTGATTACTATAGTGGGAGTACTGCTTTAAGAATGCTTCTGTCCATGGATGGGGTGATCATGCTATACACAAGTAATAACTGTAAGTAAAGAAAGTCTTCTGTAATGATTTTGAACATTGCAGATTTACATAGAAGTGTTAGTATAAGTTCAGTTTTACAATGACATTTTTAAAAAGAATATGTCACAATAAACCGTCTCAGTATTATTGTTTATATACATTTTTCTCATATTCAAATTGGATTTCATATCGTAATATATTTTCTTCTGCAAAGATCCCCAATTAGAAATTTCTTACATATTTTTTTCTAAGACAATTCATAAGTATCTGAGCCATACAATAATTTAATATTGATGCCTTTTTGTTTCTTTGATATACTTTTATAAAAAAAATCACTTATGAATGTATTTAGGAAAGATCTGTTGCATTCTCAAGAAAGCCATGATACTTCACTTGGACATAAATGTACATCCGATACCAACTTTTTCAAACCACATGCCAAAGGAAACCCATGTATTAGTAACACAATATTTTTTATTTTGCAACTTTTGGAGAATTCATTTTGAAGATTTATTTTTAATACATTGTATTAGGTAGTTCACCAAGCCTTGGAATTTTGTTGTATGATAGAATTGCAGAAGTGTGTGGAAATGATGCTGCTAAAAGTGATAATTTTATGTATGTAATTTCTCCACCTTCTCAGTGTTTAAACATCCTGAAACCTGGTACCTTTAGATGTGTTGGACCTCAGCTTCCCATAGACTGACTTGGGAATTGAAGACCAAAATATACATGGAAGGAATTAAGTTGTTATAATTACTTCCATTTATCACTGTAGTTTTCTCCTTCTAGATAGTGATAATTCCCAAGAACATTCTGATAGCATACATTGGACTAATCAAGTAAGCTTAAGTATATCAAAGCCTAACTCAGACTAGTTGTCGACTAAGTCCTTTGAATATTGATACAAATTATTTTGATACATCAGATGAAACAGATTCATACCAGTACAATAAATGATGCAGCTTGTAGAGCACACAGATAGTCGAATGGAAAAAAAGTTTTGATCCATCAGGAGAAACTTTGTGTGAGATACCGAAAGTAAATAGTAGTGGATAAAAATGTTTACTTTGATATTTATAAAAATCTCAATGCTATAACAATGAGGCCAGACTTTTTAAAACAAATATTGTTGAAATAGATTTTTGACATAATAATGATATGAGTGTTATAAAGGAGACACCTGTAATATATAAGGGAAAACACCGTCCTTAATTCTGTCCTTAACTTGATTTTTTAAAATCATTTTGATATGTTTTGTGTCCTTGTTGACAGTAGTTAAAGCAGTGAAGCATAAACTGCATGTTTTTAATAATGGTTTTTATTAATATTTTAATGCTGTGTTTAAAACAGTTATACAATAAATAACTAAACATATTTCCAAAAAAATATCCTGTTTTTGGCTGCATTTTGTTTGTTTCTGGATCTACTTCGTAAAAAAAAAAAAAGCTGTAAATTTATTTAGTGATCAAATTTATTTGCTGCCTATCTCGTGGTTCAGGTGACTGAGTGGTTTACAGTGATTTTGTCTATGCAGCATGCTCAATTGAAACACATGAATAAAAAAGCATGTTATACCTTAACATAATGTGTGACTACAACCAGGTCTACTATGATATAGGGGTTTTTTAGGCATAAAGCTAGTTTGACATGACTAGTTTTTCAGAACCTTGTTTGAATTTTTGGATATAAAGAACTCTGGAATTGCTGTTTTTCATCCTTGCCAGATACTGAAACCAAGATGAAGAGTCATTTTCCCAGAGCCTCTTCCTCTTTGAAGTAGTTTCCTGTGTCTAGTTAAGTATAGGGCTATCCAGAATATTTCAAAACAGTTGTACTGAGTCTTTGGAACTCAAAACAAAATGTTTGAGCAAAACATGTTATTTTGCTTTGATGTGAAGTAACATTGAGCTATGCTCAGGGCCTCATTTTGTGTGTGTGGGGAGGGTCCCATGTTGCAGTTCAGCCATAACTTGGTTTATTTTGGGGCTTGTGCTTTTTCAAAGTTTTGGCAATATAGTAGCAGCGACCAATAACATCTCTGCTTCTTTCGTTTAGACTGGATGGGATAATTTAGAAGTGGAGTGATGAGAAGAAAGCAGTGATTTTATTTTATTTATTTTATTTGTTAAATTTATATGCCACCCATCTCTTCGATAGGTGACTCTGGGTGGCTTACAGAACATAACAGCAATTAAAATTAAGCACATGACCGGACAGAATACTTAAGTCTGCTGGATTCTAGACTCTACTCAGCTTTTCGCTTTAATGCTATTCTGTCTATATGATTTGAGCACTTAAACAATTGTTAACCTCACTTTTACATTTCTTATTATCTCTCTTTAATATCCAGCAAGTTTACCTATGGGAACTAAGCATACCTCTGTATTAAGAAACTCTTTCATACTTCATTTGTAATTCTTGGAGTAGACAAAAGTCAGTTTAATTTGCTTCTTTTGACCAACTGGCTTATCATCTGATTGCAAGACACCTCGTAGAAGAGATAGGCACGGATTCATTTATACATATCTCTTTCTTCTTTCATGCTGTGTCTGAAAAGGAACAAATACTTTAAGTCTCCCTTCAATTTAAGTCAGAAATTATCTGTATTTTTCCAGAGGAAAATTGAAAATATGTTTCTTCTTCCAGAGAAAAAATGAAAACTCTGGTGATTTCTTTCTGAGATAGCTCCAAAACTCAGAAACAAGAGTTCTTCATAGTAATTGTCCAAACCACAGTCATCCAGCATTAAAATCTTTAAGAAATGTCTTCACATTCACAATATTAGCAAAGTAGTTTCTAATTAGTGTGACCATTGAAGGAAGGGGACATTACAAAGTTCTGTGACTTTGTTCCCACCTTATTTTAAAAAGAGTATTGGGGAAAATAGTAGTAAGCAGAGAAGGGCAGGAATGAGGCTTGGAATATAAGTAAAATTAGAATATTGAGATTAAAATTTTGAGACTCTAGAACAGTGTTTCTCAACCTTGACAATTTTAAGGCATGTGGACTTCAACTCCCAGAATTCCACAGCCAGCAATGCTGGGTGTGGAATTCTGGGAGTTGAAGTCCACATGCCTTAACATTTTCAAGGTTGAGAAACACTGCTCTAGAAAGAGTACAGAGTAGAGAAACAAGGATGATTAGGAACTAGAGGCTAAACTATACAATGAATGGTTGCAGGAACTATGAATGTGTAGTTTAATGAAGAAAAGGACTACTTGTGACAATTTTTGACAACTATTCTCCAAAACATCTGAGGGCAAGACAAGAAGTAACAGATAGAAACTTAATAAAGAGGTAGCCAACCTAGAATTAAGGAGAAATTTCCTGTCAGTAAGAACAATTAATCAGTGGAATGGCTTGCCTCCAGAAGATGTGGATGCTCCATCATGGAGGCTTTTAAGAAGAGATTGGACAGCCATTTGTCCAGAATGGAATGGGATCTCCTGCTTGAGCACGGGGTTGGAGTAGAAGACCTCCAAGGTCCCTTCCAATTCTCTTATTCGTTATTCTGTATTTCTGTATTTCTGTCTATGGTATCTTAAATTCTTATGAAGAATTTATATTATCAGGAAAAAACTATCCAGTTGCTTATTTCTTTTATGTTCTGTTTCAAACTGTTGCACACTAAGAAACTGAGAACATTGCATCTATGATCTAGTATGAGAGCAAGTCTATTTTTTATCCTGAAACTTCAGATTATAATTATTTAATCACCTCTGTTGGTTGCTGTTGTTTCTGAGTATTTCCCTGTGGATTTAAAATAGTTTTGGAACTGCATGCAGTGCTTAAAGGGAGTATTTATAGTGTGTATGTGTATGTCTGTATGGCATATTCCATTTTTTAATATGAAGTTGGTTGCTGGGGGGAAGGGAAATAGGCAACAAGGACCATAATAAATGAGAAAGATGAAGGGAGAATAGTGGAAAATGGGCTCCTGTCAGGTGCAGGCCTATACAAATACTATAATTAACCTTAAAGTGTGTATCTCCTGCTGCCTTCATTATAGCCTTTTATGTACAGATGTAAATTGAGGTGGCAATTCTCTTCTACGCTGATGACACTGGTAAGCCATACTTTGTACACAAGAGTAAAATTGGGTATTATTTATAACAAACCAACAGAGCTGGTTGATGATTTAGATTCCAGTTTACAAGAGACAATTAAGAATATTACATTGTTTTCTGTCTTCTTTTTTAACCAAAAAGCAGAGAGAAAATCATGGGGCTTCTTTAATAGCCCTTGTGAGTCTACTTCATGTCCTTAGAGCACATTTGTTGTGTGTTGCATTTATTATGATCCACTTGTTATTATCCATAATTATTTTGCTTGGGGGAGGTCTCTTACTCAACAGCGAAATTTGCAACTTGATGATGAACTCTCAGCTGCCTGTATTTAAGGTAAAATTACTGCAATTAAGGAAGTGATCAATTCATGTAGCTATCTGACTGACTTTGGACAGAACAAAAGGACAAAATTAGAACAGCTTTAGTAGCATCAGGGCAGGGAAGAGGGCTGCAAATTTTAGGAGCAACAAAAGTAGCCTGCATTTGAAATGACAAACTACATAATCCTGGTTGAGTTTATTCTTTCTATAACCAGACAACATTGCACCTATTCTCAGAAATGTGTAAAGTGGAATTAAAGAATAATATATAAAACCAAATGTCGCCCAAAATGTATGGAACTAATAATAGTAATAGTAATATAATAATAATATTAATATAATAGTAATATAATAATAGTAATATAACAACAACAACAACAACAACAACAACAACAATAATAATAATAATAATAATAATAATAATAATAATAATAATAATAATAATAATAATAATAGAGTTGGAAGGGACCTTGGAGGTCTTCTAGTCCAGCCCCCTGCTCAGGCAGGAAACCTTATACTATTTCAGACAAATGGCTGTCCAATCTCTTCTTAAAAACTTCCAGTGTTGGCACATTCACCACTTCTGGAGGCAGGTCATACTACTGATTAATTGTTCCAACTGTCAGGAAATTTCTGCTTAGTTCTAAGTTGCTTCTCTCTTTGGTTATTTTCCATCCATTGCTTCTTGTCTTGCCTTCAGGTGCTTTGGAGAATAGCTTGACTCCATTTATAATATATTCCCCAATGTTGGTTTGGTTTGTTCAACAACCTTGCTAGATGCAGTTAAGAGTAGTGATTTTAACACTACTTTCACTGTGCAGAGTACTTAGAAATCATTTTCACAATAAATCTTTGAAGTTGACAGGAATGGGGTGCAGATGAGTTTTGCATACAAAAGATTTATGATTCAGTCCCTGGCATCCTCAGATTGGGCATGAAAAGGAGCCTGCCTTTCACTATGGTGAAGCCCTGACAATCAGGATAGATCGGTTTTCCCAAATCTGATATTTTTTTCAGATATACTACATCTGGTTACAATTCTAGCCATTTCCACCGTATCTTCTCTTTTTCTCCCACCTACAGCGTCTTCTAGGGATCTTTATCACTTGTATATTATTTTTAAATTGGCTTAATAAAGATATTGTCTAAAGTGGATTGCGAAATGTGTAAGTATATGCTTTTTCAGATAACCTTATAGCTTTTTTAAAGGATACACATTTGCTGCTAAATTCGTTGCAAGACTCCAGATGTCATTCCTCCAGGATTTGCTTCTGTTGGTAGAATCAACAGATCCCATTATATTTATTAGTTTTGAACATACCTTACTACTGTTAAAAATGCAAATGTTGCTTACAATTACAGGTATTCTTGACTTATCACCACAGTTGGGACCAGAATTACAGTTACTAAAGGCAATTTTTGAATGAGTTGCACCTGATTTTATGACCTTTTTGCCACAGTTGTTAAGCAAATCACTGCAGTTAAGTGATTCTTGTGGTTGTTAAGCAAATTTTCCCTGTTGCCTTTGCATTTCAGAAGCTGTCTGGGAAGGTCTCAAATGACAATCACTTGATCCTGAGATATTGCACCCATCGTAAACATAGATGCCGAAGTGCACAGATTATGGAGATGCTTCAATGGTTATAAGTGTGAGGACCAGTCATAAGTCACTTTTTTCAGTGCTGTTCTAATTTTAAATGGTCACTTAATAATTCGTTGTAAATCGAGGGTTATCTGCAGGTTAGTGTTATATAGAATGCAGCTAAATGCTTGTAATTGGCTTATATTGGATGAATTATTTTTTTCCCTCATGCGTCTGCTATTTTATGGCTTTAAAAAAAACTTGAGATATATTGGTGGAATATTTCTCTCCCTGCCTTCATGCCATATCACTAAATGCAGGAATTTTTGGGAAGTTTTATAACCCAATTAGCTTTTTTTTTCTAATTGCCACCCTTTTGTGATTTTTTTAACCTCACAGTGAA